AGTGAGGTAATGGTATATCTGTCACTGGACCAACCACAAGGGCCGGCACTGCCCCTTCTGCCTCCGTCTCATATTGAGCAGGAGGGTCTGAAGGGAGACTGTAAACATGTTTGGCTGAAGATAGTTACAGGCCTCTTCACAGCTAGGAGCCCTGGGTGGATAAGGAAAATAAATCTCTTAAGGAAAAAGAAGGGTTTGTGCTCTCCAATATTACCAGTTCCTGCTGGGTTTAATGTGGTTATTTCACAATTCATTACTTTTCCTCCAGCGTTCTTCTTTGACATTGCAAAAAAAACCTCCAAAACAACCCAACACCATGTTGAGCCATGATCCTACTAAAGACTTGGAGACTACACAGTATATAGATTCTCTGGCAATTGGCACATGCTGACTAGGGCTGTGGCGCACTTTCACAGATCTCCTGGGTGCCAAATTCCCACCAGGATGTAGGAGCTACAGGTCTCTGCTAGATATCATCATTTTCCTTCTCAATACCATGGTAAATTGTTAAGAAGCTTCAAGGTTAAGGATTTCTATATATCACCTATGTCTCTACATCACAACAGGAAGGTATCTCAGGCTGCAATTGTATACACACTTACATTAAGCTGTCAGTAGGGGTTATTTCTGGATAGACATCTATAGGACTGCACTGACAGCTACCTTCAAGTCTTTTGTGGCAAAATGCAATAAATAAAATTAAACAGGTACTCTGATTTAGGGTTACCAAAGCTATTTGGTGTGATGGTAGGTCTGACTTCCATGCTTGTTTCTGATAAGAACAGAAATGACCCATTGCTCCTTCAAAAAAATGTGGTTTGTCCTGTGATTCAGCCTGCTAATCACACAGATCCATTTATGTGAATACATCATAAGCAACTGATTGTGGCACAAGTTGACCTAGGCTTCATCATCAGACACATTGAAATGCATGGAAAGGAAAAGGTTTTAGAGGAGGGGACTTTGGGGCCCAATGGCACATGTTGGGAACCCCCGTTTTAGGTCAGTGTTTTAAACAGCTGGCATCTTTAAACTATTTTGTTTTATGTGTATAAAAGGGCCTTCTGGCGGTTCCCTCACTGCGAGAAGCCAGGTTACAGGGAACCAAGCAGAGGGCCTTCTCGGTAGTGGCGCCCTCCCTGTGGAATTCCCTCCCACCAGATGTCAAAGAGAACAACAACTACCAGACTTTTAGAAGACATCTGAAGGCAGCCCTGTTTAGGGAAGCTTTTAATGTTTGATGTATTACAGTATTTTAATATTTTTTTGGAAACTGCCCAGAGTGGCTGGGGAAGCCCAGCCAGATGGGCAGGGTATGAATAAATTATTATTATTATTATTATTATTATTATTATTATTATTATTATTTTAGTACAGTATACTTTTGGTGCAACTCAGGGTGCGGAACCACTTACAGGACTCCATTAGCCCCAACCAGCATGGCTAATGGTAAGGGGTGATGTGAGTTTTGGTCCAACAACACCTAGAGGAACACAGGTTTCCCATCCCTGGCATAAAGCCTACCTGCATATCCTCTCAAAGGAAAGTTTTTAAAAAGAGAGAAAAATATTTGCAACGGTTGTTTGAAACATGGCTGACCATGCCATTGAAACAAAAACTGAACAGTGGATCACCATGCAAAATTGCAATCTGCTTTTGAAAATCCCTTCGAATTTCAAAAGCAGTTTGCCGTATGGTATATGGGGCAGCTGTTCAAGAAACGGAAGCCACTTAACACGCTTTGGACATGCTGAACGAGTTACACCATCCTTTGGACTGAGGCCAAAACTCTGATACACACCCCATAAGGCTCCCTCCCCTTCTTAAATACTACTGTCATGCAAATAGGAGAGCGTTCTTAGAGGGAAATCTCTTTCCAGTCCAATAGAGCAAATAGACCGTGGCAGAGATAAAGTGTGAGCAGAGGGTTGGAAGCCAGACATGCAAATTCTAATCTTGGCAGCCAATGCTGATGCCCCGTATTCTCCTGGGCATGTGTCTTAATCTTCCTGCTTTGTTTTATACATGTATAATAACAGGGATAATGCTCAGCTTCCTCTGAGTTTTGCTGAGGTTAATGAGCTGATGTATGTAAATTCCTTTGAAGCTTTGGCATGCAAACGATAAGCAAAGAAGTGGTGTCTTTTGGAATGTGACTGGGAAAAGATGGATGACCGTGCAGCGTAGACATGGGGGAGGAAGGAAAAGTCCAAGCAAAGGGGGGGGGGAAGAACCAGAGCACAGGCAAGTCACGCAGAAGAAAGATGTCCCCCTTTATCTTCTCTATCCCTGACTTCTGCTTGGCCTTCTCATCTATCAAGTTACTTTCTGTCTCGAAGAAGTAAGAACTGCTTCCCTGGAGTTGGTATGATGCTAAGCTGGGAAGCCTCTAATTAGAAGTCTAATCTCAAACACAGATGAAGTGGATGGTAGAAGGCAAGCTCTCCAACCTCTCTGTAGAATAGGGATAATATTGAACTACCTTGATAGGTTATTGCCAGGATTACTGAGGTTATGCACATGAATGATTTGAACAGTCTACAGGCATTATGTTAGCATTTTGGCGAAGGCTGTAGCTCAGTGGAAGAGTATTGCATTTGCATGCAGAAGGCCCCAGGTTTAATCTATGACATATTCATGTAGAACTGAAACTTTCCCCTGACTGAAACACTGTGGAGCAGCTGCCAGCTAGTCTCAACACTACCAAGCTAGATGGGTGAATGGTCTGATTTGGCTTCTTTGTTTGTTTGTTTGTTTATTGCTCACCCTTCATCAAATCGTCCCAGGATCAATTATTTGAAATGAAGGCAGACCTGTTTTAAGTGTGATTGATAGGTGTGCGATTGCGCACACACGCACAGTGCCAAACCCAAAAGTGACCCGGAAACGTCATGGAAGACATCACTTAAAGAGCAGGATAGGATGGGAGTGAAAGCCAGGGTGGGGCAGAATGAGACAGGGGCAGAATGGGGTGTTTCAGTTGCATTCCATTTCACGCAAATGCACAATGATGCAGAATGCAACCCGGGTGAAAACCAGGTGTTGCCTGTCTCACAATATAAAGGCAATAGACATTGAAACAATTAACCCAGAATCACAAAACTAAACAGAATCATAGGTTTGGATGAGGCCAACCCTGCTTGTCTTTAGATGCCTTTTGAAAACTTACTTATTTACCCTGGCTCTTAGCTTTGATCAAGGAATTGTAGAATCTTAGAGTTGGAAGGAACTTTGAGGATCATCTAGTCTAACTGCCTGCAATGCAGGAATATGCAGCCGTCCCATACGGGCAATCGAACCTGCAACCTTGGCGTTATCGGCACCATGCTCTTAACCATGCGGAAGTATCTTTCTCCCTCTGTGAACTGAATATGATTTCGAAGTTGCGTTACTGCTGCTGGTTTTAGATTGCTTTTAAAATTATCTTCATATTCTTATATGCCACCCTGGGATTTTGAAGGTGTGGGGGGGGAACCCCAGCTAAAAGTGCTACCTGCCTACAAACAAACAAACAAACAAACAAACAAACAAACAAACAAACAGCGGGGTATCATGGGAGGGAAAACATTCACTCTCCCCAAAGCCTGGGTAGAGAGATGCGTATTGCATGAACTGACACTGAAAACTATACAAGAACTGTGCAAGATCCTTCTTAATCAGCCTATAACCCACTCCTTCAACGATGAATTTACTTGACATCCCTATCTGCCAGTGCTATAACTTGTACGTGCCTATGCTTGTCCAGTGTCTTCTTTGATTCTTTTTAGTTACTTAGAGAGCCAGCATAGACCCCTTCCTGCATTCTATTCTGTCTGCATAATGTATATTTTTCAGTGAAGCCCCCTAGGCAGGATTTTCTCCTCCTTTTCATGTTGTACTGTGCCTGGCATATTGCTGCTAAGAAAACATGGCACAGCCATCCTAGGAATATGTAACTTTAAGAATGAAGATGTGTGATTTTGTTGGAATGTTCCCCGAGCCATGTCTAAAAGCTCCATGCTTGCAGAAAGGTAGCATGTCAAGGAGGAGGATTCTAGCCAGCTAAGTCTGTAACCTGCTACTTTTGTATGTGCACAGAGTTTCTCCACAAGGGAGAGCACTGAAATCTTACTGTGCCCCCCATTTTGCGTTCCAAATTAGTAGGGTCCCAGAAGTGTTGTACTATGTGATATATCCTGAAATATGCAGCTCAGCTCTTACATTCCAGAATCATTTTATGCAAACAGTTACAACTGTTTCTCAGTAGTATAGTTGTTTCTCCATCTTCTCATGGTCACAGCTATATTGAAAGAGTAGTACATGCAACAGGATGCTGTCAAATTTTATGCAGTTCAGTTTTGGCAGTGAATGCAGTGAGACAGAACATGTGTGACAAATATATGAGACACCAACAGGAGAACATGTTTTATATGAATTTAGCTGGGAGCAGAAAGATTACCAAATCAATCTATACTTATGTCTATTTCACTGGGTTTATTGCAGTGTGAACCCACATGTACTGGGAAGTCAAGGCCCATTGATTATATGTTGGTGGCAGACGCCAGCATTCGATATACAATTTACATTATTTTCTTCCTGTATGTTTGTGAAATCTGGATCGCTTAAAGGAATCCTGATTTGGGGAATCAGTTTTTTTGGTTTTTTGGTGTTTGTTTTTGCTGCTTCACATGCAGGAGATTATTTCGGCTAGCTGAATGAACCAAAGGAGCAATTAATAATGTAAAAAGAAAATCACCAACATCAAACCTCAATTTGTTAAATACAGAGAGTTCCATTTGTCACCTGATGACCCAATCATTCCTCTGATGACCTAATCCCATGTTTTACTGGTCATCTTCCTTAACATATTAAGACGGAATATGTCCCCAGAAGGATAATTTGACTGTTGGGGGGTGTGTGTGCTCAATTACAGATTTCTTAATGTAGGTAGCTGTGTTGGTCTGATGCAGTTGAAATATATATAAAAATAAATAAAAATGTCCAGTAGCACCTTAGAGACCAACTAACTTTGTTCTTGGTATAAGCTTTTGTGTGCATGCACACGTCTTCAGATACACTGAAGATACGCAGTGTATCTGAAGAAGTATGCATGCACACGAAAGCTTATACCAAGACTTCTTGATGGATTATATCTCCCCCCCCCCATCCTACTGATGTGGGGTACCTTCCAACTCTACAATTCTGTGATTATATGTTAAGCCCCTTCTGTGTGCCCACAGTGTCAACACAGGAGTCTATCACTCTGCTGATGTGTCACTCGCAAAATATAATCATCATCATCACTTATACCCCACTCATCTGGCCAGGCCTCCCCAGCTACTCTGTAAAATGTAAAAGATATAAAAATTATACCAGGAATTCTGACAGAGAAAACACCTGAATCTCAGATAGAAAGTGTGAAGGGTGATTCACTTCATTAGACCAACTTCTTTTGATGAGAGGAGTTCCATCTTTTGTAAAGCTAGCGGAAAGAGCCAGAAACTTAGTGCAGGTCAAATTACAGTTGTACCTTGGTTCTTGAACAGAATGTGTTCTGGGAGTCTGTTTGACTCCTGAAACTGTTCAAAAGCCATTGTGCGGCTTCCAGTTAGCTGCAGCTGCGTCCTGCCGCCAATCGGAAGCTGCAGAAGCCGTGCCAGATGTTCGGCTTCCAGAAATCGTTCGAAAACCGGAACACTCACTTCCGGTTTTCAATTATTCGGGAGCCGAAAAATACGAGCTCCTAGGCGTTCGGCAATCAAGGTGCGACTGTAGCACACTAAAGTCTTGTTTACACAAACAGTTATTTACAAATAACCATCCTTGACCTCTGATGGGTTTATTCTACCTAACATTCATTTAGTACTTTTTCAAGGTGATCAAAGCACTTCTGCTGTATTATCTTGGTGACCCTTACAACAATGCTATGAGGTAGGTCTCTGTTAAGTGTGTTTATATTGGAGTTGGGGAGTTGACTCTATGATACAGCGATTTCAGAGGTGAGGGGATTATTCGTGAAGTTTTAGGACAGAAGCCTGCTCAGCTGCAGAGATACATTCAGTGCACCTTTATAAGCAAAGATTTTACACTTCCCCTTACCTAAGCTTGCTAATGGGGAACTGGACATTTGGGAGAGTTGCAAGCAGTTCTGAGTACTTGCTGAAACCATCAAAATTTTGCAAATATTTGAAAAGAATGCTTGCAAAAACCTGATAATAACCATTGCACTTGAACTATCTTGTGGGGACTTTTAGGATCTGCTTCATCCATTCAGTCAATGGGACAAAAGTTAGTTTCCCATTGATTTCATGGGGAAGGAGGGATGAATGCAAAATTAGATTTATTTTACATTTAAAGGTGAACCTAATTTAAACTTCCAGAAACAACATACAAAACACAGCTATCATTTGACATTCACAGCTCTCCAAGTAATGTAGTCCTTCAAGTAATGAGTACAAAAATTAATATACTGGGGCATACTGGTCTTAGGGATGGTGGGGAAAAAGAGAAATGGAGGGAAACCAAAACTGACAGATTCACCCATCCCTAAAGGCAACTAAAGTGTGACAAACGTGGTGTGGACCCAACCCATTATTAACAGTCATTCTGCTTAATGGTGGTGTATTCCTGCAGCACCACACCGTTTAATGTTGCTTAATCAGGTATTAAATTACTGTGAAATTTGGAGCAGTGGTTCTATTTGTACACATTGAGGAAGCTTTTGTATCAAAGCTAACCAGGAAGAGAATGGGAACAAATCATATCAGTCCTTGTAGCTCTTGGCTTTTAATTCACTCAAACCATGAATTTCTGATTTTCCTTTTGAACTGAACAGAAAATCTTTCTGTTGACCTAAACTGATTTGGATTAATCCCTTAATTAGGAGGAGTGCTTTAGGAAATCTATGCTATACCTCCATGTTCTCACAAAACAGTCTTCTCGGTAGCTGCACCTTTAGAGAAGCTTTTGTAGTGGCTTTGGGAAACCACCAAAGAGGAATTCAAACAAATAGCCAGCACGTGTAGACACAAAGTCAGAAAAGCTAAAGCACAGAATGAACTCAGGCTTGCTAGAGAGAGCAACAAAAAAGGCTTTTATGGGTATGTTTGTAGCAAAAGGAAGAACAAAGAAACAGTGGGGTCACTCAGAGGAGAAGATGGTGAAATGCAAACACAGAAAGGGCTGAACTCCTCAATGCCTTCTTTGCCTCAGTCTTCTCCAATAAAGAAAACAATGCCCGACCTGAAGAATTTGGAGCAAATGATTCAGCAAAGGAAACACAGCCCAGAATAACTAAGGAGATAGTACAAGAATACTTGGCTAGTCTAGATGTATTCAAGTCTCCAGGGCCAGATGAACTGCATCCAAGAGTATTAAAAGAACTGGCAGATGTGATCTCAGAACCACTGGCAGTCATCTTTGAGAATTCCTGGAGAACAGGCGAAGTCCCGGCAGACTGGAGGAGGGCAAATGTTGTCCCTATTTTCAATAAGGGGAAAAGAGAGGACCCAAATAATTACCGCCCAGTCAGTCTGACATCAATACCAGGGAAGATTCTGGAGCAGATCATTAAGCAAACAGTCTGTGAGCACCTAGAAAGGAATGCTGTGATCACCAATAGTCAGCATGGATTTCTGAAAAACAAGTCATGTCAGACTAACCTGATCTCGTTTTTTTGACAGAATTACAAGCCTGGTAGATGAAGGGAATGCAGTGGATGTAGCCTACCTTGATTTCAGCAAGGCATTTGACAAGGTGCCCCATGATATTCTTGTAAAGAAGCTGGTAAAATGCGGTCTTGACTATGCTACCACTCAGTGGATTTGTAACTGGCTGACTGACCGAACCCAAAGGATGCTCATCAATGGTTCCTCTTCATCCTGGAGAAGAGTGACTAGTGGGGTGCCACAGGGTTCTGTCTTGGGCCCAGTCTTATTCAACATCTTTATCAACGACTTGGATGATGGACTCAAGGGCATCCTGATCAAATTTGCAGATGACACCAAACTGGGAGGGGTGGCTAACACCCCAGAGGACAGGATCACACTTCAAAACGACCTTGACAGATTAGAGAACTGGGCAAAAACAAATAAGATGAATTTTAACAGGGAGAAATGTAAAGTATTGCACTTGGGCAAAAAAAATGAGAGGCACAAATACAAGATGGGTGACACCTGGCTTGAGAGCAGTACATGTGAAAAGGATCTAGGAGTCTTGGTTGACCACAAACTTGACATGAGCCAACAGTGTGACGCAGCAGCTAAAAAGCCAATGCAATTCTGGGCCTCATCAATAGGAGTATAGCATCTAGCTCAAGGGAAGTAATAGTGCCACTGTATTCTGCTCTGGTCAGACCTCACCTGGAGTACTGTGTCCAGTTCTGGGCACCACAGTTCAAGAAGGACACTGACAAACTGGAACGTGTCCAGAGGAGGGCAACCAAAATGGTCAAAGGCCTGGAAACGATGCCTTATGAGGAACGGCTAAGGGAGCTGGGCATGTTTAGCCTGGAGAAGAGGAGGTTAAGAGGTGATATGATAGCCATGTTCAAATATATAAAAGGATGTCACATAGAGGAGGGAGAAAGGTTGTTTTCTGCTGCTCCAGAGAAGCGGACACGGAGCAATGGATCCAAACTACAAGAAAGAAGATTCCACCTAAACTTTAGGAAGAACTTCCTGACTGTTCGACAGTGGAATTTGCTGCCAAGGAGTGTGGGGGAGTCTCCTTCTTTGGAGGTCTTTAAGCAGAGGCTTGACAACCATATGTCAGGAGTGCTCTGATGGTGTTTCCTGCTTGGCAGGGGGTTGGACTCGATGGCCCTTGTGGTCTCTTCCAACTCTATGATTCTATGAGTCATCTCTGCTGTAGCAGTTGCAAAAAGGTGCTTTTTGTGGTGACTTCTCAGGGCCACGGGTAGCTGCTGTCTGTGTTCTGTGGGAAAAGTGTGGCTAAACTCAGCCTCTTCCATCCATTGGCCCCCGCATGCCTCTGTGACATTCCATTACATCACATTCGTACGAGGCATGCCTTCTAATCCAAGCAGTATTCATGGGCTTATTATGTTACTGGGTTGAAACTGAGACAAACTGCAGACTCTTCCATTTCATTTTTTAAGAACATCTAGCTTACAATTGTACAGTTGGAAGGGACCACGAGGGTCATCTAGTCCAACCCACTGCAATGCAGGGATCTTTTGCACAACGTGAGGCTTGAACCCACAGCCCTGAGATTAAGAGTCTCATGCTCCACCGGCTGAACTCTCTCTCTCTCTGAGTTCTGTGTAATGCGAATGCTGATGCATCCACAATATTGCAAATATTGACCGATCCTCATAAAAGGTGTAAACTTACTATCATTTGTGAATTTTGTTCTAATGGCTTTTTATTATTGTTGTCAGAATACTTGTTGGTGCATGGGGAAAGAATCAACCTCCCCTCCATGTGCTGCGTTCCCAATCCTTCTTGGACCCCTCATGGCTGATTTTCAGAGGGTAAAAAATTGTGCACAGATACACATTGAATACTCACATGCCTTATGTTTGGCCTTCAGACATTATTTTTAAAAAGAAGATGATTTTACACAAATTCTTTTGGTTAATATCTTAAAGAAGAATTATGTCTTTAGGGGGGGAAAGGGAAATTAAAACCTCCTCTTTTCCTTGGTCAGTTCCCTGCCCCCCTTTGACATATATGCTGCATATGCATTGTACAGGAATGCATTCATTTGATGTGCTTAATTATCTCATGGGTCTACAATGACTTCTAAGCTTTCCCCAGTGCATAACTACAAAGTTCCTAGTACCACGCAAATAATAATCCCAGGCTTATTAGTTTTACAGTTATACTTGCAGTAAGCAAACTTGTCAAACAGGTAAAAGGAATGACCTAATTATATGAAAAACTAATAGGATGGATGCTGCCACTGAGAAAATATTGATCCTTCTATGTGATTTAAACTATCCCTTAATTCATGGGGATCGGCAGTTCAAGACAAAAGTATATATGAACTTGTCCCAATACAAAGAACAGACCATTTTGGTATGGAGAAGCGAAGCTTTATTCCAACAAACCAATTCCCAGGTTGGGATCAAATTATTTCAGTTGATGTAATTTGGTGTTCTGTGGCCTTCCACTTGATGTATATGTG